TACCGAAGGTCCCGGGTTCGAATCCCGCAAGGTGCAAGAGTCGTGGATGCGCTGATGAGTAGTTCCATACCAGGACGAAACGGCCGAGTTTCAGTGCTTTCAGGTTTCTAATGATGGTCTAACTATGATTGATTGATGATTTCAAATGTGTAAAAATAAATTCTTTTGCTGTTTTTTATCCTTTCTAACCATTTGAATTTCATCCTTCTTCTGTCTTGTTAATCAATCAGTTTTGTATTAAGTTTGAAGTAGTAACTTGCAATGTTAACTATTCATTTATGGCAAAGTTCTATTTATTACCCTCTTTTCTCTGTTTCCGCTTACAATGTACTCATATATAATCAATAAGTCCTGATGGTGAGTCCTCCGATAAAAAAAAACAATACTTCAACACAAATTATTAAAACGAATTTATGAAAATAAAATGAAACTGATAAGTGAATGATAAAAAAATAGATAGAATATTGATGTCAGTTTTAGTGGGAAAGATTACTTGCTGTAAAAAAAGCCTCTCATAAATTTTACTTATCATTAATCTATAGATAACAAACACCGAAGTCAGAATTTTCAATACAAATGTCAAGATAGTTCTATTGTATGGCGCGGAAACTTGGAAAACTGCCAAAGCCATCATCCACAAGATACAAGTATTTATTAACATTTGTCTATGCAAAATACTTCGGATCCTTTGGCCAGACACCACTGTGGGCTAGAACAAACCAGATACTAGTGGAGGAGGAAATCAGGAAGAAGCTCTGGCATTGGATAGATCACACATTGAGGAAAGCACACAACTGCGTGACAAGACAAGTCCTCATTTGGAGCCCTATAGGTCAAAGGAAAAGAGGTGGGCCAAGGAACACCTTACGCCGAGAATTGGAGACAGACATGAGAAGAATGAGTAAAAACTGGACAGAACTGGAAAGGAAGGCGCAGGACAAAGTAGTTTGTAGAATATTGGTTGGTGGTCTATGCTTCTTTGAGGGTAACAGGGGTAAGTAAGTGAGTAAGAGATTCCCAATTTGCTGTTCGTAGCATAAGAAACGCATTGACGGATAGAAAACGATTAGATGCAAACAGTTATTGTTAGCTGATTTATAACATCAAATAATATGACCGAAGGTCCTGAGTTCGAATCCCGTGGGTAGCAGGAGTCATGGATGCACACTGCTGATGAGTCCCATACGAGGACGAAACGACCGTCCAATGCTTCCAGGTTTCTAATGTTAGTCTAACAATGAATGATTCATGATTTCAAGTAATAAACGAGAATCTCCATAACTTTATGATGAATAACAAAAAATATTTTGTGTAATAGTACATCACCATTTTAATGTTGTAAACAAAACCTATGGAATATGGATCGTTTGGTGACCTTTCTAAGTATGCACTTCTAATTTATTATTATTATTCTCATAACTTATATCAGACAGATAATTTAATGCGTTGAAGTCGGATTTAAAACTTGGGTGAGCTTTCTGTTCATTCATCTAGGTCAATACAATGTAGACTGGAATATTAAAACAATCCTACATATATATTTATATGACTTATGCATGTTACCCTCAATGGAGCATAGGCTGCTGACCAGTACACTCCTACCTACTCTCTCCTGGGCTTCCTTTTCCAACTGTTCTTCATTCTTCCCATGTCCATCTCCATTTCTCAGCACAAAGTGTTCATTGACCTTCCTGTTTTCTCTTAACCTTGAGGATTCCAAGTGAGGGCTTGTCTTGTGACGCAGTTGAGTGCTTTCCGCAATGTATATCCTATCCACTTCCAGTACTTATTCCTCCGCTAGAATCTGTTTTGTTCTCTCCCACTGTTGGTGATCACATCCCGTAGAAAACTAACTCCCTAAAAAAACGCTAACCATAGATATATAAATACATATATACTACTGTACGAACAGTTATACTTGAGTAACGTTAATCTTATCGATATTACTAACATAGGTACTTCAAACTGTTAAATAAGTTACCTTAAGAATAGCTTTTATTCATGATAACTTATCGTGTCCACATGAGCGATTTTCGTACTAACATAATGAAGCACATGGAGATTAGCGATCACCAATGAAATATAGTGATTACATAGTGATTAACTACTGAATACCGGCTCATTAGTTCAAGGGTTAAGGGTTAAGCGTAAAACCTAAAGGTCCTGTCTTAAGATGGTTCTGATGGGTTTAAGGATGCGTACAGTCAAACAGTCCCTGCACTTCGCAGGGGTCGTGGATGCACACTGTTGATAAGTCCCATACTAGGACGAAACGGCCGTTTAGTGCTTCCAGATTTCTAATGGTGGTCTAACAATGAATGATTGATGAGTTCAATATGCAAAACACACTGATCTCCATAACTCTAATTGAAAAAATCATACCACTTAGTTGTAAATCCGATAATCAATATTTCCATTCTTAAACACTTCATAGTGTAACATGAGGACTGTTCACTGTTTTCATTAACTTACTATCTCAACTCCAACCTGATTGAATTCCACCAATCACAACATTGTTAACTCTGATTTTCAAAGTCAATCTTACTCACTAATTAGCACAATAACATCGGGGTTTAAATTTACACGACTTTACGGAGTCTAGTTTATTGGCAAAACAGTTTTCAGTTATCAAAATTTCAATAACATCAGATTCGCAATGCACTAGTAATCTAGATTCTCATGTGAAATTGAACGCATAATATTCATGTTTTGGGGGCGATTCTGAGCTGTGTGTTAGTACATCATAATATGATTGTGAAATTTTTGATAACGTGATTTATATTCAGTTATCTTGGTCCAACAGAGATGTGGGTGCCTATGTGGTTATATCAAAAGGTCAGGCTGAGTTGTTCAGTCGGTTTGTTCTCCTGAATACCAACATAAGATTGCACTGTTATAGAGTATAATAATACTTACTTTACTTACTTACTCCTGTTACCCTCAACGGAGCATAGGCTGACCACCAGTTGTCTCCAAACAACTCTGTCCTGGGCTTCTTTTTCCAGTTCTTTCCAGTTTTTGTTCGTTCTTCTCATGTCTTTCTCTATTTCTTGGCCTTCCTCTCATCCTTTGACATTGAGGGTTCCATGTGAGGGCTTGTCTAGTGACGCAGTTGGGTGCTTTTCGTAGTGTGTGTCCTATGCACTTCCACCGCTTCTTCCTCATTTCCTCCTCCACTGGAATCTGGTTTGTTCTCTGCCACAGTACGTTGTTGCTGATGGTGTCTGGCCAACAAATCCGAAGTATTTTGCGTACACAACTGTTCATAAATAATTGTATCTTCTGGATGATGGCTTTCGTAGTTCTCCAAGTTTCCTCTCCATACAGTAGAACTGTCCTGACATTTGTATTGAAAATCGTGATTTTGGTTTTGGTTGAAAGTTGTTTGGAGTTCCAGTACCGATCCGCGCCCCCACATCTGCATCGGATCCACCTTGATTGTCGATGATGCTGCCAAGATATGTAAAGGTGTTAACGTCCTCCAAGGCATCTTCATCCAGAGTGATTTCGTTGGCACATGCTGTGTAATAATAGAGGTGATCTATCAATCAACAGCAACGTAGAATTTCGTACGTAACTACATCAGTGTTCAAGCTGCCATACTTCATTAGCACAGAGATGTAACTGTCGACTGCAATAATAGAGGTAGTAAAAGTATTAGCAGTAATAGGAAAGATTAAGGTTCGACGATATTATTCAAGAAGTAGAATCTAGTGAAATAAACTTAAATAGAAAAAGACAAAAATGATGAAGAACTCCGATTAGGTCTTCCTGATGTCTAGTCTACTTGCAAAAAAAACAGTTTTCATAACATCAAAACAGTTCCATAACATCAATAATCTAGATTCACATATTCTCAAGTGAAATTGAACGTAGAACACACATATCTTGGAGGGCAATGCCTAGCTTAAACCAACATCATTTATTACACATTTATTGTGGTGTGAGCTACTTATAAGTAGTATATGACGTGAGTGTCAACGTAATGTCTGGCAGCAGAAGATGGGGGAAGATCAAGAAAGGAAGAGTTAGAAAACAATGAAATTTGTATGAAACGCATCATGAATAGTGACAATGGATTGATGTTGTTTGCAACAGGAACAGTCCAGTTCGATATGATGAACTGATATTTTGCAAATGAACGATTTACGATATGGTTTTCCGATTTTATTGAGTAACTCTGTAATTTTCATTAAATACAATTCGGTTGCCCCACCGGTGTTCTCGTTCACTACATTATTATTATTATCATCACTAACACATTTTTAGATAACACAATGAATGGTAGGCAAATTGTCTAAATATATTCTTCATTTCCGAACATCTGTATATGATTATAATTTGTGTACACTATTACTACTACTACTGACTACTACTACCATACTAAATATAGAGATATACCTAACTAGAATCTATGTACAAATCGAAAGATTGTATAACTGACATGTCTTACTACTACTACGATTACTTTTATTGATCCAACTAAATTGGATCGTCAATTTCTTCTTCTTCTGTTTTGTAGTATGCTTTTTTCGAAAACATGCAAAATAAGAAATGGCAAGGAGAATGATGATGATGATGATGTTGATGTTGATGACGATGAAGTATTGACGAAAACAGCATACAAATACCGAAATATCCCTCCGCGCTAGTATGTTGTTCGTATGTGGTTGTTTGTATTGTTTTAAGGAATTTTTTCTATTCAACTCCTTTTTTGCTTCTTGATTGTTGACCAATATTTGGTGTGTACACACTCACACACACACATATACGAACACAAACACACACACACACACACGAATGCACAGCCGATTGTCCAGGATATTTGTATTTCATTGGTTAATTTTATAATCCATATATACATATATACATTTATTTATTTATATATTTCTCCAATACATGGGTTCAATCGAATATGCATGTATTGTGTGTATGTGTGTGTATGCATGCATACGTGTGCGGTCATGATTGTTCATGTTTGTCCCACCATAATGTAATCATTATAATGCTGTTATCATGAATTTGAATTTATATATCAAAATACTTGAACAATATTCTGTGCTATTATTCAATTGAATTTTCAACATTATCATCGAATCATAACACACTAATACACAACAACTGTTCAATACATTGAAGATTGGCGGTAATTTAAAATAGTACAAATCAATAATTCAAATTATTATCTTCAATATTAACAACAACAAAAAATAAATATTTATTCACTTGTACTAGTATCATTCATTACATCACCGTGTTATTCATTGAATTTCATTGAATCAGTAACAATTAATTATTATACTATTTAGTTATATTTTGAACTATTGAAACAATTAACGCGGGATAATTAAAAAATAAATTATTATTAAAATTGAAACAATCATTTGTGATTTCTGGTGATTGTATTTTACTAAAAATATATAACATAAAATAAATAAATAAATATTCAATTCCTTGTTTACCGGAAAAATCTACACATTTATTCTTATCATTTACAAGTACAAAAGTAATAATCACACATAAATACAGGTGGTGTACTACTACTACTACTACTACCACTGATCAATAAAATATAATTTGGAAAAATACCGGATAACCAGAATAAAGGTAAGTTATGAAATGTAATCGTTTGTGTTAGTATATGATATTACTATACGATTTTACATTATGGGATTTAAATTAATTTATATTGATCCAGTAGAGATCTTGATGTCTATTTGGTTACATTAAAAGGTCAAGCTATGTTGTCCAGGTGGTTTGTTCTCCGGAATACCAACATACGGTTGCAATGTTATGTGGTATATTAAGAGTTGTAATATCATCATAGGATTTTGTCTCACTCTATCTATCTCAGTGGCCTAAAACAACGCACACTAATCGATCATCTTGTAAACTGGTGAAAACATAACATGTGTAGGATTCAAACTGAGGTTTAGATTGAAGAATAACTGTCTAAGTGGTTTAGATAACGTGCTATTGCCCAGTTAAAACCAAAACAAAGTGATTTGGGTAAATGACGGTTCTAATATTTATCATAAAATATAAATGTACATCATTACACCTAAACAAATATTACCATTCAGTTATTCCATCAACAATTGTTCAATTAATCAGATGAAAAGCAACAAATAAATGATATTCTATCCCTTCTGGATAGGTCAGATTCGTTTGACAGATAATATTTGATTGCCTTACAACATAGAATGTTTCTTATTCTGGAAGAATGCTTCAAAGCACAATCAAAATGCACAATTCTAGTCCCTGCAGCCGACACAATCAAAAGAGGAACAAATCAATATGGCTGTCGCCATGACTAAGGATCAGCTTATAACAACATCATAATGCAGTTCAGAAAGACACATAGAAACTCAGTGAAGTCAGAAGAAATAGAAGCTATAATAAAATACAAATATTATCATCATCTCAAAATGGAATCGAACAGATATGACAAAATGTAGAACTGAAGGAAGAATCATTAAGGAGAAATTACAAATGTATACATGGAGGGATTTTCACAAACAAAGACTTCAAAAAGTGGATCTTACAACCAGGTGTTTTTGGTTATGTAATATCTTACTTGTTACAAGTTTCATATATGTATATATTATACCTGCTACGAAATATTATTACAGTATATTGTCAATTTTAGTAACATTCTACAGCAGTATAAAAAATATTTAAAGGCTATGACAATGGGAGTTATTTATCTTGAAGCCAAAATTTACGCTTACAAGATATGATCGTTAAAAAAAGGTAGTACATGGTTCTTGAAATCACATTATTACACATTCAACTGGTCAATAACTGTTTACTGCATTGATAATTATCAGTTGAAATATGAATTAACAAGAGAATAGTATATATTCCATTTTCAATTAGAGTTATGGAGATTAGTGTTTTTTTACACATTTGAAATCATCAATCGATCATTGTCAGGACACCATTAGAAAAGTGGAAGCATTGGAGGGCTGTTTCTTCCTGGTATAGGACTCACCAGCATTGCGCATCCACGACTCCTGCATCTTGCACGATTAGAACCCAGCACCTTCAGTCTTGCTGGCGAACGCCTAACATCTGGACCACTGAGCCGGTATCCAATGATGTTAATGTCTAACTCTGATTGATCTAGAGATTTTTGTGCGACCTCAACTGTTTTTCTTTGGTAGTTACTGCCTACACTCGATAGGGTTGAACTCCACTGGTCACATTTTCTCACTAGAACTCCGAGAATTTCCTCACGTAGCTAATCACTAGTATGCACATTTTACGATATTTTCAATTAGAGTTATGGAGATTAGTGTTTTTACTCTTATTGAAACTATCAGTCAATCATTGTTAGACCAGCTTTCAGAAACCTGGAAACACTGAAAGACGGCCGTTTCGTCCTGTTATGGGACTCATCTATTATTGTCATCGCTTTATTCAATATCACTCATAATTCTTTGATTCATGAAACAGATTTGTTCAAACAAAATTAATTTAACATTGAAACTAATTTGTGCACATGAATTTATATTTACTCAGAGCAATTATTATTTATTGTAAGGGTTTGTTCTATTTACTCGTTAATGATATTTTGAATTGAGTTGTTTTTGGTAAAGCTGTTTTATTGGTATGTAGACTATTCGACCTGATGCTTCCATAATACTTGTGATTGTAGTCAGAAATGAAATATATGGCAAGTGTTTTTTTCACACTAATTGAAAATTCTCTAGTTGAATAATAATACTTGATACTGTCACTGAAAATCTAATTCACTAGTGATCACTTCAAAATCTTAAAGATTATTAGGAAGCAACAGTTTATGATGTTAACACTTCAAGCAGTTTGTATTGAGCTCGTATCAAGATATATGAACAATCATATTGAGATATAAATATAATTTATCTTAAATATCATACATTTTCAATTAGACAATCCTTAAATAATTTCATTTTTGCACAAGGAAAGTTACTCTGATCAAATAGCTGTGCGATAATAACTCTGTGTCATGAAACTAGATGATTGGAATTCAAATCCTTCATTGAGTATCAGTTCCAAGATTGCGGTTACATCATCCTACAGATCTCCAACTAGGATGAAGCTCACATTATCTGGACCAAAAACCGTCTATCGCTTGTCATCTAACAAAAAATGATATGTATCAAGCATTGACATTCGTATTTTTTTTCTTTCTGAGTACTCTTTACTCATTAAACACTGTGCTGTGAGGGAAATGTGGTGATTTATAAGGATTATACGGACCTAATCTTGACTACTGAAAGCACTACAATTAGCAGAATCATTTCTGATTCTTTGCTTTTGGTTCTGTTTTTGATTTATGTTAAATTAAATCGGCTCAGTAGTCGAGAAGTCGCGCACAAGACCGAAGGTCCTGGGTTGGAATCCTGAGGGATGCGGGAGTCGTGGATGCTCACTGCCACTGATGAGTAGTTCCATACCAGGATGAAACGGCCGTCTTTCAGTGCTTCCAGGTTTCTAATGGTGGTCTAACATCGATTGATTGATGATTTAAAATGTGTGTACTTAAAAACTGAAAAAAGGTTTACGGTTGATCGATTTTAAAGAACTTTTAACCCACCCAATATTTATGAACATAGAATATTTTAAATGTTTCCCTACTTGATAAGTTTTCTAAATGTCAACAAATATCAAGAAATATTTGTAGTTGATTAACTAAATCTCTAATTGATATGAATTTATAATACAAATATCACGGAAAAATTACAGTCATTTCCATATACACCAATCGATTAAACTATTGTGGAATACTTGAATAGAATAGATTGATTATGATTGGTGGCAGTCAGTTATAAGGTAGAACTTTGTACATGAGTATATAAGTTCAGGTTGCCATGTCGCATCAAAAGTCAGACACAACTGACAGTTCAAATCCCGGAGTGGTAGAGATAGTAGCTAGTATTAGTTGTAATGGAGAAGATTAGTGTTCGAATGTATTATTCAAGAGGTATAATCCAGTGAAATAAATTTAAAAAGAGAAAGATTTAAGTCATGAGGAATGCAAGAGATTAGACTTTGAAGGAAGACAATGGATGGATGCACCTGCGCAATTGCAAACAATTTTGAAGTCATGTCGTTCAAGGTTTCTAACCATCGGCTACTATGGTATCGCGGACCCCAACCAGGTAGTCTACATCTACCAACATGACTTAGAATGCATATTTAGTCTAATATGTTGAATATACCTAAATCGAACAAATCTAGTGTTCATATCAACTATCGAATCAAATAACTAACTCTTTATCCATTAAGCTATTGAACGTAGGTAACAATCAACTTGTTCAACTTATGAGTTTGAAATACCTGCTTGTGAACTGCCTTCATTGGTTTATGTTCACTCTATGCTCATTGCCTCGATAAAACTTTCTCCGATAGTTAGTATGCATATGTTCTTTGATATGCATATTTGATTTTCAAGTTATTTTTTTTCCAATCAGAGTTAAGGAGATTAGTGCTTTTACACAGTGAAATCATCAATCAACCAATCATTGTTTGACCACCATTCGATACCTGGAAGCAATGGACGGCTGCTCCGTCCTGGTATGGTCCAGTGGTTCAGAGATTAGGTGTTCACACGCACGACAGAAAGTCCTGGGCTCGAATCTTGCGAGTAACAGGAGTCGTGGCTGCGCACTGCTGACGAGTCCTACACCAAGACGAAACGGCTGTCTGGTGCTTCTAGGTTTTCATGTAACTAAACAAGTGTTTGTGTAACTTATTTGTTTGTGAAAACAGTATTTAGCTTAATCACAGCGATTGCAATCTTTCAATAATTCCAAGATGTTTCATCCAGTTGTCTTGTCTGAACTTCTTCAGGGTAATCGTTAAACATGAAAATCAACCTTATCAAAGATTATATAACGTTTAATGTCTAAATCAAGTTTATCCTAAATGTTTATCTAATCAAATTCAAATGTTGAATTTAATAAGTAGAGCAACATGACTCGAGTGAAATGTGAAAACGTTTAGGCGAGTTAGTTGGATGAAACACGTTGGAATTATCTGAAAAT